CATAATTTTTCTGTAAACCTGAAACTGCTCTAAAAAATAAAGTCTATGAAAAACAAATACACACTAAAGATGGTCCAATTTAAAGACAACAGATCTTGCTCATCTTGGTGAATGTAGTCAAAGTCTACACTCTAACCTGAAAAGGTCCTAGGAAAAAGCACCTCAGGTCGTAACACAAAGGTCTGAGGGCTGTTGGTGGACAGAATGAGCTGTAATGACGCTGTGCCAGGTTTCAAGCGAAAGATTCACTGCCTGGTACAAGGCCACGTGGGAAAGGAAGCTGGTGGGATGAAATCTCACTATAACAATAAGGGGGAGCTCTGGAGGTGTAGTGCCTAAGGCATGTGACTGCTAACCACAAGGCTGGTGGTTCAAATCCACCAGTCCCTCCTCAGAAGGAAGACTGGGCAATCTACTTCCGTAGAGATACCGCCTCACAAATCCAAGGAGGGGTTGCTATGAGTTGAACTAACTTGACAGCAGTGAGGTTTTTTTTATAATAATAAGGATACAATAATGAGCTCTGGTGGCATAGTGGATAAGGCATTTGGCTGTTAACCAGAAGGTCAGCAGTTCAAACCCACCAGCTGCTCTGCAAAAGGAAGTTGGGGCAATTTACTCTCATAGATTTACAGCCCTGGAAACCTTCTGGGGTTCTCTGAGTCGGAATCGACTCAATGGTAGTGAGGTGTGGTTGTTTTTTTGTTTTTTAAATAACAATAAAGAGCTCTGGTAGTGTAGTGGTTAAAGTATTCAGCTGCTAACCAAATAGTTGGTAGTTCAAACTCACCAGCCGTTCAGTGAAAGAAAGATGTGATAGTCTGGTTCCGTAAAGATTTATCGTCTTAGAAACCCTGTGGGGCAGTCCTATAGTTTTGCTATGAGTTGGAATTGACTTGATGGTAGTGGGTTTGGGTTTTTTGGATTTATAACATTCATGGAAGTCACTATAAAGTAGTAAAAGGAGGTATGCACAGAAAACACACCCACACTCAAAATTCTGCCTGGGTTCCAATTCACGAGCCCCCAAAAGCCCACGCACAGACGCCAGGTTAAGAATGCCTATTTGATAAACCACCTACCGAGGACAACATTCTCTCTTCTTCCCCACGCCCTCTCTTTTGGGTGTATGACTTATTTTTCCATATGGGGCTCCTCTTTAAGCACCATCTTTTGAAGTAATTATGAGCCAAACCTAAAGTGAGAAGATACGAATTTCATCTTGAGCTTAAGGCTATGGAAGTCAGGAGAAGGTTTTGCCAGCCTGCTGAAGGAGGTCTTTAGAAATGAGTGTGTTCTTATAGAACCCAAACGGGTGCAGAAGTGACCAATCCTAAAGCATCTTCCAGAAGCAGTAACTCTAACCAAGGAGTTGCTGCTGGGTGCCATCAAGTCAATTCCAACTCATGGTGACCCCACGTGACAGAGAACGGCCTCACAGGGTTTCCCTGGCTGTAAATCTTTACAGAAACCAAGTTTTTCTGCTGCAGAGCGGCTGAGTGGGTTCAAACTGCCAGCCTTGCAGTTAGCAGTGGAGCCCTAAGGAGCACCACCAGGGCTCCTTAACCAAGGAGTAAGTACAGCAAATAGGCTGGGGCCTGTGCACACAGCTCTGTGACACACAGCTTTGCACTGGTGAGCAGCATTTTCAATAGAATGACTGGCAGAACTACTGCCTTTCCGACATTTCGACAATTAACTGCTTAGTGTCAGAAACCTAACGGACTCAAAACCTAATATTCCAAATTTAGTTCTCGCCAGTTCTGCCAAACTCCATCCATTCACATTTCTCATTTATCCAAAAACATTTGTTTATTGCCTCAAGTACTATTCTGGGTGCTGGGACATCCCATGGAGAAAACAAAGCACATCACAGCTTATATGCATGTAATAGCAGAAAACCACTTGGACTGCACACACACACACACACACAGCAGATGGTAACAAGAGCAACGGGAATGAGGAAGTAGGGTCAGGGGCCCAGAGGGGGCAGAGGGAGGGTGGGCAGGAGACTGCCCCTATGCAGCGACCTCTAAGCAGAGACCTGAAGCAGGTGGAACAGTGAGGGAGGCCTGAACATCTCGGGGACAGTGCTCCAAGCAGAAGGAAAGGGCCTGAAGCAGAAGTGTGCTTGGTGTGTTCGCAGTCATGAAAGGAAGCCAGTGTGGCGCAGCAGGGCGAGCGAGAGGTGACGATGTGCAATAAGGTGGCACGAATAGAACTCTGTCACAGAGCCCCTCAACTGTCCTTGGCACTCCTCTTTCTCTCCCACCCTACATTCAGAGTGGGCTGCTGCAAAGACACTTTCAGTCTGAGTGAACTGGGGAGACAGCAAAGGACATTTCTATCTTGAGCTTAAGGCTATGGAAGTCAGGAGAAGGTTTTGCCAGACTGCTGAAGAAGGTCTTTAGAAATGAGTGTGTTCTTACAGAAACCAAACGGGCACAGAAGTGACCAATCCTAAAGCATCTTCCAGAAGCAATAACTCTAACCAAGGAGTTGGTCAAGATCCACATCATCTCACTTTAGCTTTGGCTCATAATTACTTCAAAAGATGGTGCTTACACTTTAAAGGAGTTGTCCTGGCTTTAACAGCGGCCTACAGGGAGAAGCACGGAAGCCGGGAGAGCAGTTGACAGGTGACTGCAGGGGTGCAGGCAAGAGACAACGGTGGCTGGGCCCAGGGAGTCACAGAGGAGCCAGTGAGGAGCAGTGGTCAATTCTGCATGTGCACTGAAGGCAGAACTGACAGTGTTTACTCCTGGACTAGATGTTGGGTGGGAGGGAGAAAGCAGTGTCAAGGACAGGTGAGTTTTTTTAGTCTGAGTGAGTAGAATGAGAAGGGGAAGACTAATAGAGAAGAGGTGTGTGGGAGGAACAGCAGGAGCTGTGTGAACATTTTACGATCAGTCATCTAAACAGTGATGTCAAGTAAGTGGATGGATGGACATGTCTCAAGCTAGAGGACAGGGCGTGGGATGGAGACAGACATTTGGAGTGGCCAGATCTAGAGGTCATCAAGGCTATTAGATGGAGAAGATTCCCTGGGACAGAGAGAAGAGGACCCCCGTAGTGCTGCAATGCTGAAAGATCAGGGAAGTGTGGAGAAATTAACCAAGGACACTCATGGGAAAGGAGGAGTGGTATCCCAAGAGCCAAGTAGAAGAAGTGTTCAAAGGAGGAGTCAGGGGTCACATGCCAAAGGCTGCTGACAGGGGAAAGAAGATGAGGACTGAGGACTGACCCCTAGACTGATCCAAGTGGATGTCACTGATGACCCTGGAAAGAACTGCTCCAGCAAAAAGGACAAAAACTTGAATTGAGTTTCTATTTGGTTTTGGTTTTGTTTTGCTTCTGATGATGGGAGAGTGTGTGCCTACCTACGTACTGATGGGGGTGCTTTAGTAGAGGGGGAGGTTTAGAGAAGGATGGTCGCTAGAGCACTGTCCTGGGGAATGTGAGGTGCAGGGTCTCATGCACCAGTGGAGACGCTGGCC